CATTCGTGTGTGTGCGTGAATTTGGATATGGTTAAGTGCCATATAAACATGTTTAGAAGACCGAAAGGTGCAGGTGCATCGCTTTTTTTTGTGCGTTCAATAGCTTGGAGATACACATAAGATATTTCAAGCACATATATATGAAGGACGTCAAAGAGTTTGAATCGTATAGTATGTAAAAAGGGTATATTTAATATATACTTTTATTCTTGTACTAATATGTACACTAATATGTACCTCTTATGTACACTAATATACTAATATAGTTACTAAAATATACTAATAAGTATATGTACGTTATCAATCCAAACACCCATTAATGATACCGCGGATATCGAATATAGGAATGTACCAATTGATGGTACTGTTCAGATGATATGAACAAACATGGTGAAAGTATACACGCTGAATTCACGCTGAACTTGGTTTTTACTGTTCACGCTGAATATCAATAGCTAAACCGACTATAAAGAACTGATTCGACACGTGTCACATATCTAGGACCAAATAAGGACATCCAATAGCAGGTAAAAACTATTCATAAACCGACCTTCTGATAACTTCACAATCGGTAATATCAGCAATCTAAAGATAGACCGCCACATACCTTCTCTGTCCATTTTATTTACAAAGCCAATCCGCGGGACGTTGTATCGCGACGCCTATGGAGTCAATAAATGAACAGACAGTTGTGTAAGGACTGTCATATGCGGGTATAGATTAATGCAAATGATATGAACAATGACACAGGTCTCTGTGTATGGAGAAAAATGATACTGAAAGTCTGAGTATTGATAGCAAGCAGTAATAAATGGGCCGACGGTTGCATTTATGAAGTCTAAGTATTGATAGCAAGCAGTACCAAATGGGCCGACGATTGCTTTTATGGACCCATACAAGTGTATACGGAGACTAGAATTAGTATGCGTGGCTGTCAATAAGACCAAAGCATCTCAGCATGGATGAATCAAACAGTTGCATGAGGGGTACGGGTATGAACTCGCATAGAAGCGTATGGAAAATGACACAGATAAGTGTGAAAATCTGCGGAGGGGTGACAGAAAGTTGACAAAGAGGTGGTACGTATGTGTGTACGAACTAACGCAGGTGATGTGTATATACATGAATATACAATATATGTACATACATTTGTAAATATAAATGTATATACATGTATGAGAAGTGGTATAGTTAATGGATCATAGACTAGAAAAGGATACATCGGGTTCAGTATCCAGTATTGCAGATTGGATTGCGTCACTCGAATCAACCACCTCAACGCAAGCGGCAGGCCCCATATATACTACAGACCATACCACCTGCAGGCCTTTTTATAATACTTACCACACAACCCATCGGAGTTCACTACATAAAAACCCCTGCAGGCTATTGTGATGTCTTTATAGCATGAGCACAAAGTTCACTACATAAGAACCCCTGCAAATTATTATAGTGTCTATATAGAATGAGCACAAACGAATGTATTGTATATATATTTTTACCATTGCGTATTTACAACGCCATGCGCGCATACAATGCAACTATGCAAAAGCTCTTATATGCGCTTGAGAAATATACCACAAACTAATATGCACCTGCACGTAGTAGGACAGCGCTTTCTTCCCAGCGCACTGATACCCGCGCTGCGAGCATAGGTGCTTTCGCATGGTACCTATGTATCATACTGCGACTACCATATACGTACAAGGAAATGTAAGCGTAGAAAGCAATTAGAGCTCACAAGGGATTCCAGGGCATGTAGGTATAAGAATATGCGCGAGAGAGAAAGTAGCTTAGCAAAATTCACCGCGTCATGTTGATCCATAGCAGAAAATGGACCCAGTTACAATATATCTCCATGTATGTACACATATACCCTTCCTGTCAGAATATAGTGCACTTTACTCCGACCATCTCAGCACTGAGACATTGTGGGAAAGGCAGTCTATACTTTACCCAGCTGTACAAATATGTGGCGCACTGACCAAAGTGTACACACATACACTCACACCCCCTCACACATACATACATGCATCCATGCATACACACGTACATACATACACTCACAAATATATATATACAAATATATATATATATATATATATATGTGTGTGTGTGTGTGTGTGTGTGTATACACACATATATATATATATATATATATGTTATATACATATAT